TGCAGCCGGCTTGGAGAGAGTCATGACGGCCCTGTGACTCCGGGCAGCTGGGCTTAAGTAGCACCTCGGCTCCGGCCAGGTGTCCCCGGTCATGCTGATTGGCCTCTTCAGCTCCACCCCCATCGCAGGACCTGCAACACACCTGCACACGTCAGATACCTTACAGACTGAGGATGTTCTTATCATGTTTATTTGCCCAACAATTTGTGTCTTTTAATTGTAAGTAAACAGTGATACTAACTCCTGATCATATTTACAAGATAATAAAGGAACAAAGTACACACTTTAGGCATATCAAAGTAATTAAAATCAATACAATGTAGCAGCTTGACGACCAAATAGCTCTGCGTTGATCTAGAAACATAAAAACACACTCTAATTCTGCGTTGTTTATAGTGTTGTCTATTGATTATATCAAGTTTAAATGCAATATAAAATAACAAAACTCCTAGCTTTTTTGTGGTCTTGACTTTGATAAACATATAGAGGGCCTTTTCACTTCAACTCAAGAGCCATATCTGAAGTTATCTCAGGTTTTCCATACATTTCTAATGCCACGTGCAGCGCGGGTTATCCCAGGGTTAAACCCCAGGTTCGGATTACAGCCAAAAGTAGGCACACTGTCAAAAGCAATCATATCTTCTCAAGTGTCATAACACTTGACTGCTTTCTCTGTCTCTCGTGTGATCCAGTGGAGAAATAGATAGGGGGGGGGGGGGGGGATCAGGCTCAAAAAAATCTATTCTCCTTCTGGCACGCACGCACACACACAGCCCCTGCTTGTATTCCATAAACTTGGCAGAGGCACCTAATAAAACTTCACTCCAGTGGTGTCCCTTGTGCCCTTCTCCTGCTCACCAGCGTGCACCAACTTATTGGATTCTTTCCCCCCTCCAGCAGCCGTGCCCGAGCCTCTCTTCTTTACCCAACAAAGCTGAGAAACAAGTTCCCCCCCCGCTCAGGTTAGAGCTCCGTAATGCTCTCTCAACGGCCCCGCACTTAACCGCCACATCACAGGAACCCCATTACAACTGTCTCCGTCGTTGTTAGCCTGTATGGAAATTAAAAAGCAGTCAAGAAAGAAGAGCCTCACTTGATAGCTTCTGTTTTTTATTTCTCCGAGAAGCTCCACAGTTCGCCCCCGGCTTCAGAAACGAATCCGGTTGAACTTTTTATTATTTCAAACGTCTTCTTTCATTCTTTT